TGGCAACCAACCCCAGCCAACAGTTTCTCTCTCTCTCTCTTTTTTGCTTTTAGTAACAAACAAGACTGTTAATTGCAATTACCCCAACATCCCTGAAGGCCTTAGGGAACCTCAGAACTTAAGCCCCAGAACCTGCTCACATTTCTAGGAGAAGGAAAACAAATGCCTTTCATTTCTTAAGAATGAACTAAAAATGATTTTAAAAAAAGACTTAACAAGCGAATTTCTTAATTACCCTGCTCTACTGGTTATCAGATCCAGTACTCAGGCTCCCTTCTAGAGCTGGTGTCCGCTGAGGCACAGCTAGTGGCTGGAAGTCTGGACCCGTACCTTGCTCCAGCTGGCCTTTCTCCACAGAGTCGGGGAAGGGGGCTCGGGTGGGGTTGAGCCTTGCCATGCATGCAGCCCATCCTGACGGACTTGCCAAGACCGGTCCTCCCAGGAGTCTGACTACCTGCTGCTCGGCTTATTTGAAATTTCTAGCTTCATCTGCCTGATAGGGCAGTTTTCAGTCAAACTGAAGTCCTTATTCTTCCACAAATGCGGTAAAAGTGAGTCAGACAGTTCCGTTTTCTTCTTACCTAAGGTACTTTCAAAATGGCAGGCTCTAAAGTCACTTCCACTGCCACCCACAGGCATGATACACTGGCAGGGACTGTTCCCCAGCCCTCTCTGTCTGTGTCCCCCGATATGTTCCAGTTATTCTTGAGGCCAGAACTGTGCTCCGAATTAAATATGAGTCAGGAATGCATTTTCCTATGAGGAGCACAAATCAAGATTAGAGTGGCTTACCACAGAGATTTAACAAAATCTAGGATTGTGTGATTGGTGGTGTTGGGCTTGGAAATCAAGTTACAGAGCAAATAGGTTTAAAAAAAAGTGAAAAAGAAGCCATGCCACATGCGTGTTTCCTTTTATTAGGTAAGAAAGACTTCCAGATATCCTCATACTTGCTCTGTCAGTTACTGAGAGAGGGGTATTAAAATTGCTGTTCATAATCATTAACTTTTCTCTTTGCAATTCTGCCAGTTTTTGATTCATATATATGGAAGATCTTTATTAGATTCATTTCTTATTGAATTTATTGGGGTGCCACTAGTTAACAAAAATATGCAGGTTTCAGGTGCACAATTCTACAACACATCATCTGTGCACTGTATTGTGTGTTCACCGCTCCGAGTCCCCGCCCATCACCATCGATGCCCCCCATGTTCCCCTCCACCTCCCTGTACCCCCTCCTCCTGGCAATCATCACACTGTTGTCCACACCTGTGAGTTTTTTCCATTTTTCTTTCCGATGCATAAATGTTTAGAATTGGTTTTCCTCCTATAGATAGACTCCTTTATCATTGTAAAATGATCATCTTTATTTCTGGTAATATTCTTTGTATCGAAATCCAGTTTGTCTGATATTAACATAACCATCTATTTTTTTTTTTTTTTTTGATTATCATTAGCATGGTACATTGCTTTTCAGTCTTTGGCTTTTATTTGCCCTTACATTTCAAGTGTTTTTTTATAGGCAGCATGTAATTGTTTTTTGCTTTCATCCTCAAGTCTGACAATCTGCCTTTTAGTTGCGGTAATTACTTATATGCTTGGATTTAAATCTAACATCCTGCAATGTGTTTTCTCTGTACCCCATCCATTCCTTCTTTTTTTTTTTTATCCTCATTTACTGCCTTCTTTTAAACTCATGAGAGTTTTTTAAGTGATTCTACTTTATTTGCTTTGTTGATGTATTAGCTGTAGGAGTTAGCGTACATATCTTAACTTCTCACAATTCACCTTCAAGCATATTGGACCACTTTCTGCTTAGTATAAAAATATTAGAACAGAATATTTGCCCCTTTCTGGATGTTGAGCTGTTGTCATACATTTTATTTCTATATATGTTAGAAACCCCACAAACTAATGCTGTTACTTTGCAGAAAGCAATTATCTTTTAACAGAGTTTTCTAAAGAAGAAAAAATTTCATTTACCTACCTATGATTTCTTGAGATCTTAATTCCTTTGTGTAGACCCAATTTTCCATTTGATTATATTTTCTTTCTACCTGGAGAATTTGCTTTTAACATTTCTTATAGTAAGTGTCTGCTGGTGATATATTCTTTCAGCGTTGGTATGTCAGAACATGTCTTTATTTTGTTCTGTTTTTGAAGTATGTATATTTGGGGAAAGAATTCTAGATTGACAGCTTTTTTCAGTACTTTAAAGATGCTACTGCATTGTCTACTTGTTTGCAAATTTCTGATGAGAAATCTAATGTCAATTTTATCCTTGTTCTTCTGCACAGTGATGTCTTTTTTGCTCTATGACTGCTTTAAGTTTTCACTTTACCACTGGTTTTAAGGAATGTAATTGTGATGTCTCTTGGTGTAGTTTTCTTCATATTTCCACTTAGAAATTGTTGAGCTTCTTGGATTTGTGAGTTTCTAATTTTTATTAAATTTGGAAAGTTTTCAGCCATTATTTCTACAGATATTTTTTCCTGGCCTCCCTGACTCCTCCTCACTATCATATTTCTCTTTACTTTAGGGACTCCAATTGCATGTTTATTAAGCTCACTGATACTCTGTTTATCGTTATGTTCATTCTTTTTATTCTCTTGTAGACAAGTGTCCTGTGCGGCTGCCTGTTTTATTTATTTTGCCTGGTTTGGTGTAGTTGTCTTAGGGAAAGAGTAAATTCAGTCCTTGTTTCTCCATCTTGGCTGGCTGGACTGGATTACTTTAAGTTATTGTGGTTCTGTTGATAAGACAGATTGCCAAGGGTGTCACTTGTTTCCAAAACAATTCTCATTAAGTAACCTGAAGATGTGCAATCTACATCTCCTGTAAGTACAGTACACCCTTGTGCAATGGGTGTTATGAGTCCCACAAACAAACATCACGTAAAACTATCTCATTTCCCCATACGGCTTACCTTTTAATTCCTGTAATGTTTTCTCTGCTTCATTTCCCATTACTTTCTGTTTAGCAGTGACTCAAACTTTGAGGCCTTTTTTCTGTTTTCTCCCTGCCCCCTCCTTTTTTATCTTTTCCTTTTTTGGTCAGGCACCAGTAATTTGTATATAAAATTTCATGATGTTTTGAGATCAGAATTCATTTTATTCTGGTTAGCATAGTCTTTGGGTACTTAGGTGTGTGTGCCTGGCACTAAGGAGCTTGCGGGTTGATAAAAACAGGGTATTAAACTTCAAGGTATATATGTCTCCACGATTGTTTTAAAAGAGGGCCACACCTGCATTTTGGGATAGATTTATAACAAGTAGAAAGTTCAAGAGAAGGAATTCCTGTTTTTCTTGTTCCTCAGCTCCAACAAGTCTGTACTGAGCACTTAATACTCCAAAGTGTTATAGTGTTTCCTGAGACTGAGGCAAGTCTTTGACATTGATGATTTCACTATCTTGTGGAAGCATGGCACAACAGGTAAAGACCCCAGGTGTGGTACCACAGTAAATCTGTGCAGTTTCACAGGAGAGGATCATTATTGAGGGCTGAAGAGATTAAGAAAGGCGTGGAGACCTAGTTCAGGAAGGAACAATAGAATGCAGGGGAAAGTGGTGGCGTGATCACAGTTAGGCGTATGACTGTCCATGTTGTGGCTGGGGACAGTCAGAGCTTGAAGCAAGGGACTCCTGCCGGAAAAGAGGTAGAAAAGTGGAAGCTTATCTGTGAATGCCCTGTGTGCCAGGCTCAAGCATTTGGATGGTTTTTCATGGGTGGACATGACCAAAGATTTGTTCTGAAGAGAGAGTTAATGTGTGCAAGGGACACGGTGGCAGATGTGGTGAGGGCAGGGACTATTTTGTAATCTTCGTATTCCCAGCTGTTAGTTCCTATGTAATGCTTGCTGCTTAAGCGCGTTTAAGAGGTTATCTTTTTATTCCTAATTTGCTAACTTTCTGTGTAAGCACTGGCCTTGTCTACGGCAGGACAAATATTGCAAAAGAACCTCTTTGTCCCCAGCGTTACTTTGAAGGGCTGAAGCGAGGCAAATTTGGATTCAGACTGTTTCAAGACCTATTTCTTTTTAAATTCATTTTCTTCCTTTAAGGAAAAGGCACTCAGCCAATGTTACAGAAATTACACAACAGGGCCATCCCCAATCCCCGTCTACCCCCATCCCTAATAAATTCCACATAGTCTTACACACCTCTTAAGAAGGCAGACCACACGTATACACAGAAACCCACCGCGCACACTCTTCGTGGAGATACAAACTCCCAGCCGAGCAGTTGGCACGATGCAAACTTAGGCACACACGCTCACGTGAGTCAGCGACTGGGCGGAATGGTCACTCGCTTGGGCCCCCACACACCCGACTTAGCCACAGACACACACTCCCGCGCGCACAGGCTGCCCGGACACCCCCACGCACTGCGCAAGGCCCTATGCCACTCCAGCCCAGCGGACTCGCGGCTGTGCCGTCATTCCCGGGCGCCCGTTGCGTCATCAGAGCGCGACATTGCAGCAAGCACCAGCAGAGACTCAAGCACCGGCGGAGACTTGAAGTGCCGGCGGCTGCCGCCTCTGAAGCCGGCGGAGCGCCGAGGGCTTGCGGCCCAGGCGGGAGCGGGCTGCGGGGGGCTGCTGGGGCCGGGGACTCCGGGACAGGTGCGTGGTCGCCTCTGCGCTGGAGCCCGCGTGACTCCTGCAAGTTGCCGGGGTGGTCTGTGTCTCCCTGACCCCTCCCCCGAGAGCGGGGATCCCCCCGGAGAAATGGGTTCCAGCTAGTGCTGGAGTAGGGGTCAGGATTGTGCTTTTCTGGGGGATCAGGTTGAGGCCGGGCTTCTTCTATGGACCCAGTACCCTACGCACTCGAATGGGACGTGGGTCATTGGCTTTGGCGTTGAGGCAGCAGGGATGCTCTGAGAGTAGCCGGTGCGGGGGACGTTGCGATGACAGATGGCCATTGATTGATTGATTGAACTGAGCGCTCACTGTGTGTCAGATACTGTGCTAGGCTCTTTATATGTATTTTCCATTCATCCCAGCACCCCAGGAGGTAAGAGCTATCATATTATGCACATTTTCCAGATGGGAAAACCAAGGCATTGAAGTTAACAAATTCGTCTAAAGTCTCACAAACGGTAAGACGGGGCGGGGGGTGGGGATTTGAACTTGGGCATGCTTGACTTCAGATTTGCCTTCCTACCACTGGGTGTATCAGAATCCGCAGCTGGCTCCTCGCAGCCCATAGCTTGGCACCTCCGATTTTCTTTCTTTCTTTCTTTTTAAACTTCTCGACCTTGATAAACGCTGTGGGGAGAGAGGAGCGAAGCGTGGACTTTCTTTTGGCACAAGACGCTTTCTCTTCCCCTCCTTCCCTCGTCACTGGGGCCAGCGCGTCCTCATTTTCTCAGGTAGCACTGGCTCCCCCTGTTGTGGCTACATGAAACTGAGAGTTGAGTTTTCTGTTGTAATACCGAACAGCTTCCCTGCCACGTGCGTTGCTTTACTACTCTTTTCCTCTGGCCTATTGTGTTAGATTGTTACCTATGTTAAATTGTTAAGGACACGTATAGTAGTTATGCTGAGGATAAGTCATTGCAGCAAACATATGTGGCGACTGAAAAGAAATCGGAGTATGACCTCTTAGGAACACTATAGAGCTGGAATTGACCTTTCAGAGTTTTAAAGGAATATTTTAAGGCCAGGTGAGAAATAGCCAAAAGCTGTCTTAAAAAGAATTTGAAACTTACGCCCTTCCCCCATGCTGCTTTTCCGGTTAGAAGTTTTTACATTTTAGGCTAATATCTACTTTCTTTAGCCATTCATTCTTAGCGAACATTTTCCTGTAGGGTAGGAAAAGATTGTTGAAAAGGATGAAAACTTATCAGTCAGATATTTCATAAAGGGTAGTTTTGTTGTAGAGCTTTGCAGATGTACTAAAAGTGCAAATGGTTCGTTTAAGGCATCACAAGAAAACTAAGAGCTTAATTCAGTTTAAGTGGGAAACTTCAGAGTTGCCCTCATCACCTTTGTCTCTTTTGCGTTATTCCCAGCACATAATTTTAAAAATTATCTAATTATGTGCATATATATAACTTACATTTAATTAAATAAACACATGCCTTCATTCCTCCAGGAAATATTCAGTTATTAACATGAAATAATTCTTTGTCATGTACCTGAAATAAGCTATTATTTACTCTTACAAATACATAGCTGTTTTGTTTAGAAAGTCTAAAGGTACAAAGATTGAGTATTGAAATCAGAGCTGCCTTAGTTCATATAAACATCAAAGTCTGTTTTTACACTTTGACTGACCCTGGTAGAAGTCTGTCTGTAGTTCATTTGACATCTTCTTCTGGAACAAAATCACTTGGAAGTCAGAATTTTGAGTTCTGGTATTTACTCTCTGGAGTCCTCATTAATGTAAATGGTATATATATTTTTTTACAGCACATGATTTAGGAGGTACGCTTTATGCCATGGATGAAACTGCATTAACCCTTGGCACGATAGATGTTTCTTACTTGCCAAGTTCAGCGGAATACAGTGTTGGCCAATGTAAGCATGCAAGTGAGGAATGGGTAAGTTTAAGATTAAAATTTGGATTAAAAATGGTCAGCCTAAAGATGTTCATTGCAATGTTGTTTATGAAGGTGGAAAGGCTGGAGCCGACTTTATACCAATAACTGGGAAGAAAAGACTGAATAAGAAATTTAACTGCAGACATGTTAAAAAGCAAAAATACTTTTGCATAGAAAAAAAACCTACTAGTATTTGTTTTGGGTAGTATAATTATAAAGATATTTTTGAAATGTTTCTGTATCTGTTTTCCATTATCTCTAATAAGTATACATTTCTGATGGAAATAAAGTTTAAAAATATTAAAAATGGGAGATAAATTTTAGTATGAACCCAATCCAAAGGGCATATATTGTGTTGTTTTCTCTATTTCAATATAACATGGCATGTTTGAAATATTTCTTGGACACTACCTGCTTTATATAAAAAATGATGATGGAGAGGTTTTTTTTCTGCTTACTTTTGAGAATACTGTACCAGTGGTATTTGAACAACCAATGAACTCAAAGTTAAGAGAAAAATGTTTAAAACAGAAGAACAGAGTTTGACCCTAACTGTACAGTACAGCTATAATTTCAATTTCAGCATTTACACTTTATTGTTAGGATAAATGAGTGTTCTGTGAGTATACTTTGTTTTTTATTTAAAGCAAAATACTTCAAGCTGTATTATAACAACTTGCTTACTCTGTAAGGCTTTGGTAAATAATTCTTTTGTGGGAAGTGTGTGATTTAAGAGAGAGTAAAATTAACTGTTAACATCAGGACCCAGGAGTTTGATTTGATTCATCCTGCTCTCATGAGAGGCTCTTTGAGCTTTTCCAGCTTTATTTTAAAACCTTGAATGCTGCTTTGAGTGTATAGTAGTCTTTGCCAGCTACTACTATTCTTAGGTGCTTAGCTTTTGCTCTTGTTCAAAGTGCTGAATGAAAATCACTCTGAGAAACACATAATTATGCCAACTACTCAAAGAAAATGTGTCATAAGTTTCTCTTTTACCTGGGATATCTTAGTTTTATAGATCACGTGGACAGCTAGAATTTTCTTGCCATTTGGTGATCACTTTTTCCTTAACATTTATTAGGATGAGTGTGGTTTCAGACCTACTGTGTTCAGATCTGCAACCTTAAAATGGAAAGAAAGCCTAATGAGCCGGAAAAGGCCATTTGTTGGAAGGTGCTGTTATTCCTGTACTCCGCAGAGCTGGGTAAGACTGTTCCTGCTTGTTGACCTTTAGTAAACCCTTGAAATACACGACATAGATTTCCAGCTTTGTGTGAATTTGGTATTGGGCAAAAACCAAATAGACTGAATTCACTTTTAGGATTTATTTTTATTCCTTTTTTTCTAATTTCTATTTTTAGAATTTAGAGTCATATTTATAAACCAAACATTGCAAGTAAAGATGTTGACTCAATTTTTCATTCATGAATTCATTAAATCTTGGTCCAATAGTTGACGCTAGGCGAGAGTTGGGTTTTTTAGTAGTTTTGGTATGACGTTAGGGGGAGAATAGGTCTTACTTTCAGTTAACCCTTCCAAAAAGTTGGTGGGAACCTTCTTGTAACGTCTAGAAGTTGAACTTCAGCTCTGCCTTGCTGAGTTTCTGTTTCGGGCATGAGTGGGGCAGGGTGTTTGTTGACTCTGATAGTGAAGAATGGTCGCTGAAAGCTTAGGTGAAGAGTTAAGAAAGAGTGTGTATGGGTTTGTTGTTTGTATTTCGGTGAAAAAAAAAAAAACAACCACAAGCCCTGGAAAATCTTCCACATTAGGGTGCGGGTGTTGATATTTGAGAAGAGCCCATTAGATGAGAGGCTGCTCCTGAAGGCAGCGTGCTGCGCCAGAGGGTGAGTTCGCACAGGAGGCAGGCTCTGCTGGCGCTGGCGCTGTGTCCTGAGGCAGCAGAGTACCCGTAGGAAGGCGCACCTGCTTGTTAAGTTCCCTTTGAAATGGGTCAGTTATCACAGAGACATAGACATTCTGCCCTTAAAAGGCCTGTCATTTATAGAGATGGCTTATAAGCTGTGTGAACAGGGAACTGTGCTGTGTGAATGTTTTACTCAGGGTTGGCTTGGTAGGAAGTAGAATTCTGAGTCTGGGATTTCCTAACCTGGAAGAGATTTGTGTGGGACCCAAGCAGTTTATGTTAAATATTCATGTCTGCTCAAGAATGGGTTGATAGGAATATTGTTACTTTTAGTTTTATTTCATTTTCTTAATCCTCACCCAAGAATATTTATTGATTTTAGGGAGAGAAGAAGGGGGTGGGGGGAGAGAGTGAAATGGAGAGAGAGAGAGAGAGAGAGAGAGAGAGAAACATTAGTCGGTTGTCTGCCATACCTGCCCCACCCAGGGATTGAACCTGCAACGTAGGTATATACGTGCCCTGACCAGGAATGGAACCTTTACATATATGGGACAATGCTCCAACCAACTGAGCCACCCAGCCAGGGCTAAATATTGTTCCTTTTAAGTCACAGGTACCTTGTTGCAAGAATTTAAGAATTTGGTAGCATTGAAGGATCATGGAAATTTTTAGACCAGGAGTAAGGCCAGTTTACATGAATAGGCCAATAGAAATAAAGATTTAAGTAGAAGATCATGTGGTTTTTGTTTTGTTTTGTTTTTTAAGACCTGGTATCTCATCTAACTGTAATTTTGAATGTTCAAAAAACTGAAACAATGCTAATATGTTACTAAGTCAGGAGAGAGTATTTGGTGGTGGTGATGGTTTGGGGTGGGGATAGGTGAGTAACATAGCAGGTGATTGATTTTTGCCTAAATATGGTACCTGAACTTTAGGTACTATAGTACCTGAATATAGGAGCTGAACTTGATCTTAATATTCTTCCATGGCATGTGTGTTTAGAGTAATATTTGTTTGACAATATTTTTATTGTAATTTTTTGATATTTGCTACCCTTTCTCTGAAATCTTATTTTCCTTTTCTCTAAAAAGAGTTCACGTAGTATTTTTACATCTTTTGTTGATAACACATTACCTCAGCATAACTTTTTGTTCACATTAACTTACAGACTTTTTCTTTTCAGCAGTTATTGCCTGGTTATTTTTTAAGGTTACCTGTAAAGAGGATGACTTTTAACCATACGTTACCTCATCAGATGGAACAATCATTTTAAAGGAATGGAAAGACCATGCTCTTTGAAGCAAGATCTAGGATTGAATCTTAAACTTAGGCCAGCCTCAACTTTCCTTCTTTAAAATGGCAGTAATAATTCTTATGTGTCAGGATTATTGGGAGATTGAGTAATCTAATAATACCTACATGTTATTCTTTTTTGTTAGTAATTAAACTTTATTTGCAGAACAATAATCACAGTTTTATTTCAATGGCAGAGCGTGTAGCCAGTAGTACTGAGTATAGACTAATACATAAAGTGTCAGTACCACGATACAAAGTATCTCCTTGGCATACTGTGGAAACTGGCCATGAATCATTTCCCTTGAACATCAAAAATTAAGTCCACATTTACACATGAAGGTACGCACTCACTTGGAAGTTTTCAAATACAATTAGTAGTGATTCTCCTGTTAAGTTTGGAACAGATGATATGTTGGTATTCATGTAAAAAAACAACCAATTTCTCTAGATTGCTTTCATTTTCAAAGAAAATTTACACATGTTATTTTTAGCATAGTAGTTTTTTATTCTGGCAACACTGAAATCTGCAGTGTCTCGGTCAATGACTTATGTGCTCTGTAGCTTCGTCTCATTGGGGTTTCATTGTGGTTGGAGGGCGGTCGGGAGGGGGGTGGGGCAGGAAAGGGGAGGCACTATTTTCTTTGCAAGGTGTTAAGGATTAATTTTGAGTTTGTGACTTTCTTTAAAGGCTAAAAGGTACTTTTCAATAAAATATCATTTTTCTTCATGACTTTGGTTTTTGAAATAGTGTCTGACTTTTTGAAGCAATGCCTAATTTTATGCTTGAATTTTGAAAGTTGTCAGATACTAGTAATGTAAGCTTTTCACCAGCAATCCAGTTGTATATTTATATCTATGTTTATTTTGTTTTATGTAGGATAAGTTTTTCAACCCCAGTATCCCATCTTTGGGTTTGCGGAATGTTATTTATATCAATGAAACGCACACAAGGTAAAAAGAAATTTCTTCTACTTCTAATACATCTCAAAAGAAAAAGTCCATCATAATTTATGCACTTTAAGATGAATCTCATTTTGTTTTTGAGAGTTAATAGAATATAAGCTTCTGACACAAGTGGCTTTATCTAAAATTTGGAAACAATATAACCACCTGAGAGACCTATTACTGTTACTGCTGCTGTGATTATACAATAAACATTTTCTTGAGAGAGTAGATATCACAGCTTTCTCTAACTTACTCATGTATTGATTTTGTATCTGAAGTGCTCTAAATTGTGATAAAGATTTGTCTGAGGAGAGGTGTAGGCTTGAATGTCTTTTGATCTATTATGACTAGTTCAAACTTAAAAAAAGGGTAGCTGTTTTATACTTAAAAAAAGTAAAGCTAATCTAGAGTTTTAGAGAATATTTTCCTCTGTTGAGCAAACGTTCTTTGATATATTATTAACTTAAGACTTTTCTTAGAATTCTTACTTCCAAATTCCAGGCAAATGGGGATAGGCTATTAGACACCAGTGTGAGAGAAAAGAGGCTTTGTTATGTTACGTGCGAATCTAGGCTAGGAGAGAAGAAAGGAGGGTGGGGAGGGGTGTGAATGGCCTGGAGGCAGGAGAGGCGGGCCGCCAGAACTGCTACCAGTTCTTACAGTTCTAAGGGTGAGTGCCTGGCAGAGGTAAGCCGTAAGCTCAGGCGATGAGAAATGCTTTTGCATTTTTATGAAAAACTGATCCAGAAAATGAAATATTTAAATTTTAAGTCTTTCTGGTGCGACTGTTCACATTTTGATGGCGAGGTCACACGAACGTGACAACATCTGCGTATATATTAGTTAAGACTTGTTAAAAAATACAGTTGAAGTCAAGGGATGTATTTTTTTTCCCATTTTCATGCTACCCTTTCCCCTTCCTTCCTCCCTCCCTCCTCCTCCTCTCTTAAGTTTAAAGGTGATAGGAGAAATTTTGGTTTATTGATACATTGTTTCCCTTGGTTGACGTGATTAAGATCCTAAGAAAAGAGATCTCATAGGGTCCCTCTTTATGTAAGTTCACATTCAATGTATAAAGGCAAAGGGTCCGTTTTTTGCCCTCAGTTGCAGGCAAAGAAAGAAAAGTTATATTCACAAGACAAAATGAAACTATTCAACGTAATAAGCTGCCTGTAGAGTTGAGTTGGCTTTTTAGGTTTTGTGTGTTACATGAAGCAAAGCCTAAACATTTTTATACACACACGCAGACACACACAGAGCTTTCAGTCAATTGCAAAGGGGTTTCATAGAGAGTTTGGACTTTGTACATTCTAGTAATAATTGTGAAAGTTTTCAATGAAGAAAGAGGTTAGAATTAAACACCTAACATACTGGGCCAAGTTTTCAAAGAATTGAGACAAAGGAAAGGAGGAAGAAAAAGAGAATGTCAGGAAGGAGAGATGAAGGAGCATGTGATTCATAAACAGTTTTCCCTCAAAACTCTAGGGGCTTTTTTGATTCTTTTCAGAAATGATGAGTTTATAATTGAAATCTGTTTATGTGAATATCATTGTGGAGAAAATGATAATGAGGCACGATATAATCACTGTGAATGGTATCCGATCATTGCATAATGAAAGTTTGTAGCGTTCTTATTCTGAGATGCCTGTTCCCAACCCTCTCATCCAGATAACACACAGTCACTGGTAGGAACATGTCCTATCCTTTAGTCATGTTGAATATTTTTTTATTAAAGCAAGAACTTTTCTGGTTTTGTGGAGCTATAATATAACCTTAGAAGAATTACTATAGCAACAATAACAAAAATTAGCCCTGCATGATAGGAAAAGACTTCCAAATCATCTTTTATAGCCCATAGCTATAGCTATAAGCTGTATATAGCATGTGTGTACACACACACACACACACACACACACACACACACACACTTGCTTCTTTTTATGGTATTAATAAAGTAAGCTATTTTTATTTTTGTTTTTATATTTGGGTTATTATTTGGCAAAATGACTATTCAGGCATCTGTACACAAATTCCACGTTTAAATTGTCGCTGAGAATACATGAAAGAAGTTGGGAATGAAGTTATGTGAACTCCTAAGGAGAATTTGCTACAGGAGAGCCCCAGTCTCAGGAGTAGCTGGAATGAGGCCTTGTTTTAACAGGAGAGAAACCCCTGTACAATTTAAATAACTTGTTTTGAGCGTACTAAAGTGCTTCTCTGCTAAATGACTTTCCCGTTGCAGGCACCGAGGATGGCTTGCAAGGCGTCTTTCTTACGTGCTTTTTGTTCAAGAGCGAGAAGTCCACAAAGGCATGTTTGCCACCAATGTGACGGAAAATGTACTGAACAGCAGTCGGTAAGGGCTGTTGTAAAGGGGAGAGGCTGGGATGGGTGATAGGAGTGCAGTGATATTTACCTTTAGAGTCTCTGGGACTCTGTCTCCAGAAGTATTTGCATTTCCAAGTCAAATGTTAAGCATCAAAGGGAAACCAAGGAAAGGCAGGGCAGGTGGTTTTGGTGAGCGCTGCCCTGTGGGAACAGCAGTCTTGTTCTAAGGTTAGCAAACCAATGGCTTTCAAATTCCTGAAAGGCAAGCTGGACCAGACGTGCACAGGTTTCCAGAGTTTCTGTAATAAGAGTTTTAAGACATTGCATTTTCAATTTTATAGTCAAAAGAGAAGTGAGTTTGGTATTTCTGTCGAACAGTTATTGAGCACCTAGGCACAAATATTTGTATTAGAAAGTCACTGTTAGGAATTTTAAGAGAATAAGATACTGTCTTTGCTCTTTGAGGAGCTAGCTTACAAATGGAAGAGACTGGCTTGAACTCAGATGGCGTGGGCACATGAATCATTCTGAGGAGGAGGCGTTAGGATACGGGGCGTTTGGAAGAAGGTTGGTCTCTGACCCACCCCACTGGTGTGGCCCGTGTCCCACATCTGCCTGGATTTGAGGAGCTGGAAATGGGTGGATCGAAAGATGCTCAGCAATGCCGCCCTGTGATGTGGTCGTTAAGGTCTGAGCAGTGGTTGCAAATAATAGGCCCTCAAATATTTATTGAATAAATGACCGCATATTTGATAATGCAGATGTAATAATCATGTCAATTACTTGTGAAAACATTCCTGGCCAGGTTGAAATAAATGCTATTCAAAGAATAGACTTAGGGTGATCAGTGTCCTGTGGGGTGAGTCTTCTTTTCATATTAATGAATTATGGGGCTGTGTGGAGTTTTGCTGTACAGTTGTCTAATATTAGCAACAGCAGGAGAAAATACCATTATTTGAAACTCCTTGGATTGTCATATATTCTATTTTCCAGGTAAAAACCTTCAAGCATGTTTTATTATACCCAGATAATTTCACTAGAACCTAGAATATTAGAAGTGAGTGAAGGAGGTGTAACCTCATGCATTCTTTCCTACGCCATGTGGAAGACTTGTTAAACTGGATAGAGTCTTCCCTTTGACCTCACTGCTTATTGTTCTGTGCTGTTTTAATCTTCAGCTCTGTCTTTTAAAAACTATTGGTTTGATTAGAAAACACTTGCAAACATTTATGTCCTTCTTGAATCCTTCCTAGGGAGTTTTATATACAGTTCTAAAGAGCCACAATATAAATGCCTAATTAGGTCTTCAAAGTAAAATCAGACATTACTTTGACAGTGGGTTTTGGAAGCCTCTGAAATAGAAGCCTAAATGGATTACCTTCTTTTTCTCCCTTCTGCTAGTGTGCAGCTTGTGTCTCTCACAGAGTAACTGGAACATTGAAATTCACAGAGCTGTCACACAGTACATTTGAATTAAATTCCTAAATCGGTCTTCCAGAGTTCTCAGGGGTTCATTGCTTTTGGAATATGATATCCTTAATATTTAATAGACAAGCAATGAAAAGATTTCTAACTTGAGTTTTTTCTCTCATGTTACCACATATTAGAGAGAAGGTACATTTTGTTTTGTGATTTATAGCCACGGTTTATGAAGCACTGAATACAGAATGTAGCACACAACCAGCTGCATTGCCTGACTTTCCATTTTCAAATCAGAGTGCAAGATGCCATTGCTCAGGTGGCAGCTGAATTAAACCCTGACGGTTCTGCTCAGCAGCAGTCAAAAGCCACCAGTAAAGTGAGGAAGAAAGCCAGAAGGATCCTGCAAGAAATGGTTGCCACTGTCTCGCCAGCCATGATCAGGTAATACAAGGCCAGGCAAGAAGGTTTCAAGAAGAGCCATCCTGTGTTGAGCAGACAAAACTGAACCATTGGACTTTCATTTCTAAGCACAATGCTCTCGGTCCAGGACATTTTAATATATTCTGATGTTAAACCCAACTCTTTATATTTCTACTCAGCTCCCATGGGAAGTAGTGCTGTGGTAGGCTGGAGGTGTCTTAACCTCAGCTAATTGATAGCAGTCGTATTACTGCTGATATTTGCTCTCTGGACCAGCTGTGAGCAGCTTTCACATACCCATCTCTTAAAGGGAAGGGCTTTCTGTCATTCTGCTCACCGAAATACTCGCTTGGCCTTGTGCTTCTGAAGTCTAAAGTGTGCTATTAGAGTGAAATGTAAGATTTTAGTCCATAATAAATGGACACTTTTATAAGTAGTATATACGTAAAGTTAGCTGTTTATAAGTAGTATATACGTAAAGTAGTATATACGTAAAGTTAGCTGTTTAATTCCACAATTCAGATACACACACATACACATGCACACAGAGTCACTTGAAAGCAATATATATACACACATACATTTAAATTTCTTTTTCTCTTGTTTTTGTTTTTACTTTCAGACTGACTGGGTGGGTGTTGCTGAAACTGTTCAACAGCTTCTTCTGGAACATTCAGATTCACAAGGGTCAACTTGAGATGGTTAAAGCTGCAACTGAGGCAAGAAATATGTGGATCTGTCATTCTTTCTCCACATTTGTAGAGTGATTTTAGAATTCTTTTGAAAGTGTTCTCTTGTTTACCATTGTGCGTTGCAACCCATTGGAGAGCTGTGTGTGTGAGGAGGAACAATGGGGTAAAGGGAGACCTACCAGCCACGTGCAGGATTGCTGTAGTGGGTTACCTCGCAACAATTCTGAAACCCAGGTAGAACAGTCCCTAATTTTATAAATGAGGAAATAAAAGCTCTGACAGATTAAGAAATGTTTACAAGTAACAGCTAATAACTGACTTGCCCAGGATTTCAAACCAAATCATACTTGACTCCAAAACCTAAGCCGCCTCTCAGAGATACAGACTTAACTTGAACTCTTGATTACTTTTACTTTCTTGATCTTTTTTTTTTTTGTAGCTGTTTTTTAGCTAGATAAATATTAAGTTGAAAGAATTCATGTTATTAGGAAATGATTTTTAAAGACTGAGTCACTGGTTAGCCAGTGTTTGAATGACTAACCAAATATGAAATTGCAAAGCATGATTGAACTTTGCATTTGAACTATAAATGTGGCACTTTTGCTTTTACTAGATGAATCTACCACTTATATTTCTACCGGTTCATCGATCCCATATTGACTATCTCCTGCTCACTTTCATTCTCTTCTGCCATAACATCAAAGCGCCATACATTGCTTCAGGCAATAATCTCAACATCCCCATCTTCAGGTAAGATCAGCTTCTTTCGTAATTGAAGGTACAGAAAAGATTATATTCTGAACTTCTGTTTTCTTTATTATACCTTTTGACATATTATTATAAAGATATTATATTTTTAATTGTCATGATAAAAGTAATACATGTTCAGTGTGGAAAATTTGAAAAGTACAAAAAAGGATTAAGAGGATCACTATTATTTTTGTGTTTTATATGGATACTTGGGGAACTGTGAGTCCCTAAACTTTATGGGCAATATTTACCAAATGGATAAAAGGCAATTAGAAAGACAAGATGGCAAGTTACTGTATCTGGCATGGCAGGAGGGAGCTGGGGCTGAGGAGATGGGGTGGCGATGGGGTAAAGGTAGGTGAGAAGAACCACACCTGTTAATGTTGGTCTTGTAAGTTAGAAGAGCTAGAAACCTGTAACAACTACAGTATAACATGAAGCTGTGTTCTGAATAATTTGGAGATTTTCAGGAGAATAAAGTGCATTCCATTCAGAGGAAATAGCCTGTGAAGAGGCGGAGAGGTTCGGCAGCATGGTTTGGGTAGGCTGCAGCAGCCGACTCAGGGGGCTTGGGGTGTTGGATGCAATGGGAAGGGCCGAGGCTGGGGACGGTTACTGCATAGGTAGTGAGGACTAGATCAGAACAATTTTTAAGCCAAGAGTTTAGAATGTGTTCTGTACTTGAGGAACGACATGGTCAGATTTGCATTTTGAAGCCTCATCCTGGATTAGAGGGAGTTAGAACAACTCTGACTCTATCGCGGTAGTTCAGGCAAAAGGTAATGAAGGCTTAAATTAAAAGCATAACAGTGCTATTGGAGAAGTGGACATTGATGGGAAAAGTGTTTAGTAAGATGAATTTACAAGAGCAAATGGTAGTGCAGATGCAGACCTCAACAGAGGGGGGAGGAGGGAGGCGGGAGGAACTCCCAGGTGTTTTACCACCAGGGACCTGGGTAGGCAGTGCAGCTGACCACCAATGGGGAATTGGTGAGGCGTAGGTTTAGTTGGTTAGGGAAATTGCAGTTTCAAACTACGAAGCATAAAGCAGCTGCAAAATCAGCTCTGTGAGTAGCAGAGTAAGAGGATGAATTGAGAGAGTGACCGGAAGGGAAGTGGCCTGGCAGGTTGTCTGGGGAGGGCCTCACAAAGTGGCGGTCATCACCTTTGCAAGCTGTGAAGGCTGACCCTCAGCCTCCCCATCCAAGGAGCTCCTCCCTCATCGCGTAGCTCAGAGTTCTGTGGCTGACCGGACTGTGAACGACCGACAAGAAGCCATCCTTTCATGAGGTCAGCTGATCCTCAGCTATGCGGTAGACAAGAGTGAACAAGATCCTTAGACATGGCCTTCAGGTAGCCCACGATCTACTGGGGAACATGGACAAGGAGCTAGCTATCAGCCAGTGCGATATGACCCCACAGGGCAGGCATGCTTTTCCAGGGAGTAGTATCTGTGTTTACTCTCCTGGGCATTTCTTCCCGGTATTGAGGAACCTGTGAAGCTGAATTAGAAGGTCATCAGAAAGTCGCTGGTAGGCTTAGATTTAGAGCAAAGCCTGGGTTCTAGAGAAGTCTTGCCCCGTAATAGTTTGCCTTTTTCACCATCAGAATAACTCACGTACTCATTCTCTCCAGGTTCTCAACCTGGATCTCTTGGAGGTACTTGCTAAACACTGATAATTTCTGATAACTCAGCTGTCCTCATCATAGAACTCTATGCCAGTTATTGTTAGCCCATCAGTCCTCCAGACATGACAGACTGTAGATGACCTGGCCTATTTATTAGCGCCGTTCTTTTGTCACACGCCAGTCTACACATTCACAAACCACTTTTCAGGGTGGGTTATTTTTGTGGTTGGTTCACCTCATTCATTATGAACTTAGGCTGCATAGTTTTAATCTCAAAGAGTTATATTAAACTCTTAAGAGCATCTTATTGTCGCCTTTTTATACAGACTATCAAATAGTCTGTATAAAGATATCAAATATATATACTCACATATTTATATTACTGTCACTGGAAAAAATAGATGTCTCTGAGTTGGGAGAGGTTGACTTAAGTACTAGAAAATTTCAAGTTCATGTCAAAAGTCAATCAGTATTATAGAAAGAGGCCTGAGGTTGTGAAAAAAAATTGTTTTATTCTTATGTGTAGGTACATGGAGCGAATTCTTGTTTCATGTTTTGAAAAGATGCTTATGTTTGGTTTCAGTTTGATAAAGCTATCCTTGTCTCACAGAGACACTCTCTGAGCAGTACTTATTTGAGAAAATTTCTCCAAAGTAGCTTTTGTAACATCACATTCATTTTGTAGTAAATGTGCCAGTAGGCAAATTTTGGGATGTCTAATGGTCGATGTCTTGAGACCCTGAACAGAGTTTTAAAATTTAGCAGTATTTCATAATCCAGTTAAGCTCTGTAGCATTGAATTTGCAGGGTGACATATCACATTGGCTTTTCTTGGCTTGGAATGGATGTAATACAGTCTCAGCGCGTGGAGTGATATTCTAAAGACTGATGAATAATGTAAATGACCAAAACATCAATGCTATGGAAAATGGAAATATGTCCACATTCTCACTGTCAGCAGCTTCAACAACACATGTGGTTTATATTCACATGGCAAATGTTTTGAAGTAACTGGGAATATGAATATTCTTTTTATATTTTCTTTGTCAATATTTAATGCATTTTTGAATTTATAGTACCTTGATCCATAAGCTTGGGGGCTTTTTCATACGACGGAAGCTGGATGAAATGCCAGATGGACGGAAGGATGTTCTCTATAGAGCTCTGCTCCATGGGGTAAGTGTCATCTGTAATTATCCTTAAAGCTGTTATGATAGTCCTCACGATGGAAGGAAAGAGACTTGACTGAGATTTTAAGAAACTGTTGTCTGAGGAGTTATTTGATTGATTATTGTTTGGGTATGGGTTTGATGATTACTTTTTTGTTGTCACCAATATAGCATTAGAGGAGCTATCTTGTTGTAAATAACAAGTAAATAATTCATAAGTATTATTAATTCATAATATTTATAATTATAAATATTAATAACAAGTAAATAATAATAAAATATTTTGTCAGTAGTGAAATTATGTGTGTGTGTGTGTGTGTGTGTGTATTTTTTTTTAAATATTTAACTTTGCTGACCCTTTTCTAAGATGGGGGTCTTGAATTCATGTTTTACTTTCTCCTGCTATGCCAGCATATAGTTGAACTACTTCGACAGCAGCAGTTCTTGGAGATTTTTCTGGAAGGCACACGCTCTAGGAGTGGAAAAACCTCCTGCCCTCGGGCAGGACTTTTGTCAGTTGTGGTAGACACTGTGTCTACCAATACCATACCAGACATCTTGGTAATACCTGTTGGAATCTCCTATGATCGTATTATTGAAGGTCACTACAATGGCGAACAGCTGGTAAGAGGACTTCCTATCCAAATTCTTCTTTGCTTTCAAGTCTGTTGCTTCTAGAGTTAATTAGGAATGTTTTTGGTACCACTTTGTTGTAAAGCATCGTGGGAACCATGGCAGGGTGGGTATGGTGAGTAGCTTCCCTCTTCTGTGTCAGCCGGTTGGTAGTGCTAACGTGGTGCCTGCCTGCACCTGGAGAAGGGACGGGATTGGAGGTATCGGTGCTGGCCTTCGCCGTGAGACCAGGAAGTGGAAGAACATCTGGCACTGAGATGTCTGCTCTACGGTGGGGGGGTTTGTGTGGCTTGTTTTCCCCAGGCCTTGCTGTTTGTGTGCAGATTTTAAGTTAAGCCTGGAGGGACTGCTGGGACCACGTTGACAAAGCAACTACAAATTGAGAAATGGCAGTAATGTTTTTTGTAAACTTTTCATTGAAGTAAATATAATAGTTTTAGAAGAATGAATGCACAAATCATAAGCGTGTAACTGAATTGTGAATTTTCACAAAATGAACACGCCCAGGTAACCAGCGCTCCATACAAGAAAACAGGATCAGGACCCTAGGAATCCCCTTGTGCCCCTCCCATTGCTGGCCCCTCCAGGGTAACCACTTCTCTGACTTCTTAAGGAATAGAGTAGTTTTGCTTGTTTTTGACCTCTGTATAAATGGCATTAAGTAGTGTGTGGTCTTGTCACATCTGGTTTTCTTTGCTCAAGCAGGTGTTTGTGCGATTCACCTCTATTCTGGCATTTACTTAGAGCTTGTTTATTCTCATAGCTGCATAGTTTTCCAGTGTATGACTATACCATCGTTTATCTACCCTATTGTAGAAAAACAATTTGGTTGCTAGTTTTTGACTGTGATTACTTTTGTACCTCTCTCGATGACCGTGTGTATGCATTCTCCTGGGCATGTACCTAGGAGTGGGATTGCTGGCTCATAAAGCGTATGTGTGTCCAGCTTTATTTAGTAAATACTGCTGGACCGTTTTCCAAAATGCTTTTACCAACTCAGCATTCCTGCCGGCATTGTGAGAGTCCCAGAGGAATTTAATTTCTTTTTTATTTAGTGTGGAAGTCTTGGGCAAGGTACTTTTTTCAAGCCTGCTGCCCAAGACACGTCAGAAGCTCAAGGACACCTGATAATTGGAGGCTTTAAAAATTAAGTGACAGGTCTGGATTAGTATCTGTCTGTCTCATGAGATGCCTCCGTCTTTGTTAGGTGTCTGTTCTGAATGTGTGTTCCACTCCCTGAGTGTCTCATGAGGTCATATTTGAGTCCTATGTCCATTATATACGGCTGTCGTTGTGCCTTATATATATTAATATTCAGCAAATGCTTACTAAGTGAATAATTAGCTTAAAGGTCCCTGTGGGGCAGGATTTGACACAACTGTCCAGTGTTAAGTATTTGGACTCTGGTGATCATCAAACCTTAGATAAACAACGTTTTTGACATCTTTATCTGAGAACTACAGAATATGCATAATTTTTCAACCTATGTCATTTTTGTCCTTCATTAGTTTGTAGTTATATTTTTGTGAATGATGTAAATAGTGTACTGAATGAGCATTAAATGATTTGTTTGTCAGTGACCAAATTACCTCTCCCAGTGACATGACTACATCTTTTGGAATCTTTGAATGCTAAATATTTTCTGACAGGTCTCCATCAATGAATAACTTCTTTACCTTGTTCATTCATTGTTTTTTTTTTTTTTCCCCCAAGACAAACCTCTAGTTTCCATAAAAACAAACAAAAATCCCTGTTCTTTGGATAGCAGAATGTTTGCATATGTGTGAGCTTTATTTCTTACCATGTTATTCTTTCAAAACTGGAATTTAGGGGAAACCTAAGAAGAATGAGAGCTTTTGGAGCATAGCTCGAGGCGTTATCAGAATGTTACGAAAAAACTATGGGTGTGTCAGAGTGGATTTTGCACAGCCATTTTCCTTAAAGGTGAGCATCTGTTGGAATGAAGCTGTTCACAGTGCTGGCATAGCGTGCTGTTGGGCGGTCTGGGCTTGCGTCCTGCCTCTGGTCCTACTTCCATCGCCTCAGCTTCTTCTCTTGTAAAATGAGGACCATGTCAAGAGTGGCCTTTCCTAGGCTTTTCTACCAAAGTACACCTGTTAACCAAAGACAGTAAATATCTATCTTTGGGAGATACTGAGTTCAACATTTATCACTATTTTTTTAAAAAGCCATGAGAATTTTGCATGTTGTTTTATTATATATCAGTATTTTATTTTGTGTTTTTAAATTGCTTTTAGGGGAAATTTATCAAAACATGACCCCTAAAAGCTGGGCACAGACGACAGCGTAGGATGACGCTCTAACCTACCGAGCGGCACCCAGGACCCACATTCCCAAGGGATGGGCCATCCTCATGGAGCAGCCTGGGCCTCGTGGGTCCCTGAGGCCACGGCAGTTTTAAATTCCTAAGGTTTTTGAATCGACTAAAGAGAAAGAGAGGAGTGGGTCATGGCCCTTCTTCTCCTTCTGTTCCATTTCCCGGTTTTATTTTAAAAGATTCTAATTTCCCTGCTAGATGCTTTCTGGCCTTAAAGTGCTTTCAACTTAGGAACCTCCACATTTCTTACCAGTTTGAAACTAGTGCACAGCTTCTCTAGCTTGTCATGATTTGCCCTCGGGTGGAGGTTCTTTTGAATATCATGTGACCTTCAGGTCGCCGGGTTTCCTTTAAAAAGCCTGGTTATAGCAGCTATCACCAATAATAATATTGGGAATGTCAAATAATTTCTCAAAGATGTGAGAAAAGTTAATTTTTCTCTTTTAATGTAGAAATGATTTTGCTTAAGCATCATCCTGTGCGTTGTATTTTCAATTCTTAGATTTTGTGCTTGATAACTTTCCATGAGTTATTCTGGACCTCTGAGGACAGTTCAGGATCTAAGAAGTATTTCTCATGCTCTTTAGCATGGCTCACTTTATAGAACAACTCCCTTTTTACTTTTTGAATATTGAATATATTTTATGTGTGTTTCTGTAAGGGAGATGACAAGAATCCATGTTTTTCCCTCCCCAGGAATATTTAGAAAGCCAAAGTCAGAAACCTGTGTCGGCCCCACTTTCTCTGGAACAAGCTTTGTTACCAGCTATACTTCCTTCAAGGTGAGGTTTGTGGACATTTTTACATTAACTAAACTTTCAAATATCTTATTTTTAATATTGCATAGAAAAATAGGTTAACTTTAATAAGAACGTGCATGTTCTTGTTTTCACTTTCGAGCCTAAGTAACTTCCCTTTTGGTTTTACGAAGGATGTTGAAGTGATATGGTTTCATAGTTTGAGGTTTTTGATTTATTTGCATTATAAAATCTATTTGATTTTGTGAATCAGGTAGGCATTCTTATTTGATTTATGCTTTTGAACTGAATTCTTTTTGAGAGTAGCTTAGATTATGTGCATTGTACGTAGTACAATGTGCAAGAGTTTTTCTGTGAATTTTTCAGAATTAAAAATGAGTCATAACTGAGAGAAAGTGAATTTTAAAACCTTCCTTTAAAGTGTTCAAATGTCAAGGGTTCATAAATGTTTTAAAATGAGTTATCTTGCTTTGTGCATTTTTTTTTAGCCAGTGGGTTTTAGAATTGATGTACTAATAGACTGTTTAGTTATAACTAAGTAATGTGTTTTTGCCAGGAGAATGTATTACACATAATAGAATATATCATGAAGAAAAATAACCCACAGAAATAACCTAATTGTGTTTTAAGTTTAGAATCTGTGGTAATTTACAATATTTAATACATTTATACCTTAGGCCCACGTAGTTTGCTCTGTAAAACAGTGGGACTGTAGAAGTCTAATTTTTAAGAGAACTTTTCAGACCCAATGATGCTGCTGACGAAGGTGCAGACACGTCCATTAATGAGTCCAGAAATGCAGCCGATGAGTCGCTCCGAAGGAGACTGATCACCAACCTGGCTGAGCACATTCTCTTCAGTAAGTGGAATGGTGCGCCCTGTCACCTTACAGTTCGGATTCAGCACGGTGCGGTGCCAGCCCTGCAGGTTTCGGAACCTGCCCTCGTTTGGTTCCACTTCTAGTTCTAGTATGTAACACACAGGTGGTGATAGGTGAGTCGTTAGCAGGAAGGTGAGGCTGTGGGGTTCGAGGTAATTGAGTGCAACATCTCACGTAGTGCCTGATGGTTAGTAGACACTCATGCTTTAATAACTATTTAGTATTGTCAAAGTGGTCTGTTACCTCTTTTGCTCATGAATTTGTTTCCTTGAATTAACTTGTAGTGCAGCATCTAGGTTTACAGTTGCATGTCCCTTTCCTTTCTGACCTCATGATCGGTCATTCAACACGTACTGAGGAGCATCGTGTGTGAAGCCTTGTTTTAGCTGTGGGGGATACACATTGAGGAATCAGTGGTTCAGCACTTCAGGAGCTTATGCTGTTCCCAGTGGGATAGTTGTACACAGATAATTTAAGTAGAGTGAGCTGAGTGCAGAAGTAGCCTTCCTTAAGTTCCAGATGGCAGTGTTGTGTCATGTTGTAGAGGTCGCCTTATAGTCCTATGGTGGCATCAGGGTCCCATGGTGTGCAGGCCGTGCAGGATCTTCTCTCCATTTCCTGGGCCCCACTTCCGGTCAGGTCAGAGTCCCAGCACTTCCTGCCGGCACTGGGGCGGAGGTGTCCTCACCTCCTCCTGCGCCTTCCACTCCGGCTGCTCTTACTCCTGCTCCACGCTGGGCCAGAGCACTCTTTCTCAGGCACATCTGATGCGTCTCTCTTCTTCTTTGTTTAAATTCTGGATGCTAAAAACAGTACATCCTTAGTGTTGGAAAATTGGAAAATAAAGATAGAACCCACTACCAAGTAACCAGGGGTGTTGCTGTCTAGTCTCTGAAAATCTTTTTTACAGTTTTGTATTGTGCTCTTTTCCATTTATAACACAAATATTTATGTTTTTAAAAAACTTTATAAACATTCTTTTTAATGGCTATAAATATAACACTGGGTACTGTTTTGTTTTTTAAACACTGGAGACAATATCAATGTGAGCAAAGTATTCATGAATTCATTATTCTCAGAAAACTCACAAATGGTGTGTTTCAGATGATCCCATAGGTGTTCCCATATTTAATTTTTATGATTATAATTTTTTACAAAAGCGCATTGGGTTATGGACTATAGTCATTTTCAAATTTATTTCTGTCCCCTTCTTCCCTGCCTCTGAGAGAGGTTGAAAAGAGGAAGTGACAATATGCTGAGTGCCATCGCTGTGGGTCCGGTGGCAGGCCAACCCCTTTTGTTCCCACATGGCCGAGTGAAGTAGGTGCTATTCTCATTTACCAGGGAGGAAGCTGAGGCTGGGAATTCAAGCAGTTTTCCCCAAGTCATGAAATTAGTCAGCATAGAAGTTGGGTTCTGAACCCAGATTTTCTGACTTTGAAACCCCCCACCCCCTGCACCTCCTCTGTGAATACCTCTGTGGGAGGAGTGTAGAGCTGCAGTTACTAGTACAGTTACTAGACTGCAGCCAGGAACAAGTCAGGGTACACAGCAACAGGGTATCCTGTAGAGCTCGTAGAACAGGCTCAAACTTTGGGCCTTGGTGTTTCCATAAAGGCGTCTCTTGGTTATTTGGTAACCAAATTCCAATATCCTGGATTGAAGGTGGACCTACCTTAGACTGAGTGCTGTTATATGATGAATAATGATCTCTAATGGCCCAGCACATGGTGTGATGTTGTAACTCCCTTTTGAGAAATCACCTTTATGGGAAATGTATGTGGTAGAGGACTTGTAAGTTGTAAATACTCCTAATTAAGATTTAGGTACTTTTAAACCCCCCCCCCCTTTTTTTTTAAAGTACAACTAAAGCTTTGTGTTTGCCTTTCAGCTGCTAGCAAATCCTGTGCCATTATGTCAACACACATTGTGGCCTGCCTGCTCCTGTACAGACACAGGCAGGTACGTCCGCAGTGTCACCTGGGGTTAAAGAGTAAGTGTTAAACAGTGAGTGTGACAGCGCTTTGTCAGATGTTCAATACGGGATGTGGAATATCAATTTCCTGACATTCTGGGGGACCCGCTTTCTAACCAGTGTTTTCTCTGCATTGGTGTTTTGGCCCTTTTTCTGTATATGCCCATGGGAGCTGCAGGAAAGTCAAGGCAAGAAAAAAATCCTTGGAAAGGCCTCTTGGCCTTTTGGGAAGTAGGTTTTCCACTGTCGTGAGACCATTTCTGTCTGTTTCTCTAGGGAATTGATCTCTCCACATTGGTGGAGGACTTCTTTGTGATGAAGGAAGAAGTCTTGGCTCGTGATTTTGACCTGGGGTTCTCGGGAAATTCAGAAGACGTGGTCATACATGCCATACAGCTGCTGGGAAATTGTGTCACAATCACCCACACCAGCAGGAATGATGAGTTTTTTATTACTCCCAGCACAACTATCCCTTCAGTCTTTGAACTTAACTTCTACAGCAACGGGGTGCTGCATGTCTTTATCATGGAGGCCATCATAGGTATGGTGGGCCCTGGAACATTTTCACAGAAAATACCAGGGCCTAAAACACATAGTGGTGTCTACTTCAGTTTGGATGGTAGCCCCTTGTTTGAGGGAATGCATTGCTATAGTTTTAGCTTTCAAATAAAAGTATAATCTGCTGTATTACTATTTATAGCTTATTTTTACATCTACTATTCAACAAGCAGTTCCTGAATTACTGCATGGTATTATATTTATGACTCAGGGAGAGAGGTAAGGTGTCCTGCTATCCAGGACCTGAAAAACTAAGTGAGAGGAGACATTCGCATGGCAGCGATGTGGGTGGTGGGGGCTCATTTGTGATCAAGGGGCAACAGGGGAGGAGGAGAGCAGAGGGGACTGAAGCCCCTGAGGAAGGCATTTGGTAGAGTTGGGATCACATGGACTCATGAGAAGTGACTCCTCAGGGGATTTCCTTACATTTCTCCAGTGAAATGCAGACAATTATTTTTGATGTAACAGCCTAGAAAGGTTGTCTGCGTTACCCGAGCCAGTGGAAGTTTTTCTAGGAGCGCCAAGGCTGCTGGCTTCACTGATGCTCTCGTTTCCTCAGCCTGCAGCCTTTATGCAGTCCGGAACAAGAGGGGGGCTGGCGGGCCTGCCGGCGGGCCCTCCAGCCTGATCAGCCAGGAGCAGCTGGTGCGGAAGGCGGCCAGCCTGTGCTACCTGCTCTCTAACGAGGGCACCATCTCTCTCGTAAGTAGCAGCTTTTTAGTGTTACCTGTTCTCTTAAGCATTTTCATGAAACATACACTGCCTTTGTTTTTCTCCTAGAGACTTTTTGCTCCTTTACTGAGACTTTACATTCTATTGCTGGTCTCAGTGACCTCCATAGCGACCTGCTGTTTACCACCCAGATATGCTGTTGGGGTCACTGCTCAAGTGACCCCTTTGTGCACCTGTGACTGCGCAGCATTCTGCATCAGTCAGATCCAAGGTTACTGAGCTCTTGTTAGGCTGGGGGCACTGGGTCAGAGGTTCATAAATAATTAACACGTCCTCCTGTGGATGATAGAAACACAGAAGATAAGAGACAGAAACAGCCTTAAAAACCATCTGCTCAACCGTCTCTCACTTTACAAATTGGGAAACGAGGACCCAGCAGTACTAATGAGCATTTTTGTTATATCCAAGCACTTGTAGATATTTATAACGAGGGATACACATTAAGCAGTAGAGAGATAGTTAAAGTCTAGTATTTTCCTCCACTTGTATGAATGCATCTTGGGACATTTATGAGCATGTGTGTTGTGAGTACAGCCCTCTTCCACGGTGGTCTTTGTATGTGGCATATTGGTGGCCCTTGAGGGGCGGAGGAGAGAGGAGAGGGTAGATAAGTTTCCCAAGATTGCCTTTATCCTTTTCCTGGGTCTTTTTGAGTTATTTTAATACTGTGTTTCTCATCTACCACCTTTATGTACAATCTGTCCTCTATGATAGCTTTTGCAGAGAAATTGTCTTTATTAAGAAAAAGAAATAGGTGGCGGGGCCTAACGGGCAGCCCATGGGGGGCTTGCTTCACTGGGGGTGGGGGAGACACCGAGCTTGGGAGCACCCTTTGCAGGTGATGCCACATTGGGTGCTCTGCCATGCAGGTGAACGAGGTCTCTCCCATGGCCTTTCCCATGACCATGCATATTTATCAGGAGGGTGGGCATCGGAAGTCTTAGGATTTGCCCAGTGGAGTGAGGTAGGTTATATCATGGAAGTATTTGACAACTACCTCGTACAGTGTTTTTCTGTTTTTAGTAAAAGAAGTATAGGACTGTGGCATTGACATTTATTTTTAGTTATTTATTTCTTAATTTAATCTTTATTGTATTTTTTTCATTACCATTTAGTCCCCTTAAACCCCCTTCCTTCCAGCAATCCTCACACTGTTGTCGTGTCCATGAGTCCTTTTTCCTTTCTGTACAGTCCCTCCACCCCCTCCCCCCCTCCCCTGCCCCGCCCTTAGCTGCCATCCTGCTCTCCACCTATGAGTCTGTCCCCATTTTCCTTGTTAGTTCAGTTTGTTCACTAGATTCCACATATGAGTGAAATCATGTGGTATTTGTCTTTCATGATTGGCTTATTTCACTTAGCATGACGTTCCCCATGCTGCCCATCCATACTGTCCATACTGTCCAGGTCCATCCATACTGTCGCAAAGGGTGAACTCTTATTTTTTATGGCTGAGTAGTATTCCATTGTGTAAATATCCCATAGCTGTTTTATCCACTCATGTTCTGATGAGCTCGTGGGCTCCTTCCATATCTTGGTGATTGTAAATACTGCTGCAGTGCCTTGACATAGACATTTAAATGTCTTGTCTTTTCAGCCTTGCCAGACATTTTACCAAGTTTGCCACGAAACAGTAGGAAGGTTTATCCAGTACGGCATTCTTACAGTGGCGGAGGTAAGAGGAATGGCTTTCCTTTATTTGCCTTTGTTTAGTTTCTCACCCTTCATTTTCTTGTCTTTTCTACCAATTATTTTAACCAATATTACAACCAATTACATTAAGCAATAATTACCTTTGATATATTGTCAAGTCCAGATGAAGAGAAGAGAAAAACCAGAATGAGGAGAGAGTAAATGTCCTTCGGGATTGTTTAATATTTTAGTTCCTTTTGTGTGATTGGTGTTGTCTAAAACATAGCTTGACTTAATTCCAGGCATCCTGAAGTTGCTGGAAGATGAGCTGTTTTACCTTTCAGGGTGCTTGTAGCTTGCGCATAGGCATCTTTCATTTTTGGGATTTTGTTTTAATTTTGGTCAATGTAGTAGACTGGTTACGGCCTGGGGAAGTAGATAATCAATTTAGAAAAGGTGTGGGTATTTTTATTTGATGTGTGTGGCAGCTTTCCCCCAACTTTCTTTCCTTGCTGTCTCCTGAGTGGTTCTGAGGTTGGGAAGGGGAATGGATTGGTGTCGTAAATGTCTGGACAGAGAAGAGGAGGGAAGGGAGTGAGAGCAAGCTGCCATGGCTGGGGTCCAGCTGGCAGGGGTTCGTGTGCCTGTGCATGTTGGCTTACGGCTGGTCATCTCGTTGGCATAGCAAGATGATCAGGAAGATATTAGCCCTGGTCTTGCTGAGCAGCAGTGGGACAAGAAGCTTCCTGAACGTTTGTCTTGGAGAAGCGGTGAAGAAGACGAAGACAGTGATTTTGGTGAGGAGCAGCGAGATTGCTACCTGAAGGTACTTTGGTGAAAAACTCTGGCGGACATTACACTGATGTGTTGAGGCTCATGTTGCCACTAGTTAATGAGATTTGAATAAACTGGGACTCTGGTGACTTGTTCATAGCCAAAGCACCTAGAGAACAGCTGTGGTTCTTTCTACTTAGTACATAAAGGCACCCAAGCTGTTTGAGTTGAATTAATACATTAAATTGTGAGTATAATTAAATGGCCGAGGAAACAAGAGTGAAAGTTCAGGAAGGCGAATGTCCTGGTGGAAGCTGTCATGATGCTCTCACCGAGCGGACAGGCGCACACCGGCGCGCACAGCTGCTCTTGCTCCTCAGGCGGCGGTGTGTCTGTTCGCCCCTCGCCCAGGCACGACAGTGCCATACCAGCTGTGGGAGCGAGGTCCGTAGTAGCTGTCAGGGGCCTGGCTGCTCTTTCTCGGTCATTCTCAGTCTTGCTATCCCTTCTAAAATTTTATGCATCCAGATCTTTACCTTCAGTTAATACAAATCCTATCGCAAGAGAAATATTCAGGTTTTTAAGTTTGATTGTCCCGGATTTAGAAAGATCAGTTTTGTCTAATTTGTAATTTTAGAGGTTAATAATCATGACCCCCCTTTTCTGAACGCCTGCAGTGGGAAAACACCCCTGGTTTACACACACACGCAGAGTCAGGAGGTTCAGCTTCTGGAGATCCCAAATGCCTTTTAGAAGATTCTTCCATTTGGGTTTTATTAGTTTCAAGATGGGCAGTGACCTTGTGTGCACACACAAGAGGAGCTTATCTGAATATTCCTGTTTTGGGGGCACAGCGAGAGCCTCCCTGAAACACCTCCACTTCCCTTCCCCCGCTAGACTGTGGGTTGAAGGACAACTGAGGGTGGCAGGAAATGGGGACTGGGAAGGGCTGAGATGATCTTGCGGTCTTATCATGTGACCTTTTTGTACCTTTGAGTGACTGTCGAGCCAGGCTCCCAGCCCTGTAGAGTCTTATCTTGGGACCAGCTATTTTCAATGATGACAGTATGTCATTAAGTATGTCATTTAAATATGACAAGTTCTAGCCAGATGCTCAATGAACACAGACCTCAAGCACTGTAAAAGTCAATGATTATGAAAAAGACTGCATTTCAAAACCAATAGTCATTTGCGACGGAGGTTCTGTGCACACACAGCATCAGGCTGTTTCTGGGTAGCGACAGTGAGAACCATGTTCTCAAGCTGCTGGGACCCCCAGAAGTCCCTCTGTCAGCGAGTCGTCTCATCTGTGCCTTCTGCTGACTGGACCTTTGCCCTTGCCCAGGTGAGCCAATCCAAGGAGCACCAGCAGTTCATCGCCTTCCTGCAGAGGCTCCTGGGCCCTCTGCTGGAGGCCTACAGCTCCGCTGCCGTCTTCGTCCACAACTTCAGTGGCTCGGTCCCGGAGCCGGAGTACCTGCAGCAGCTGCACAAATACCTCATCACCAGAGCGGAGAGAAACGTCGCCGTCTATGGTGTGCATGCCACTGGTCTGGGTTCTTTCAATCGACGACTTGTTTGATTACAGGAGTCTGCTGATTGTAGGAAATTGGGGGGAAGGATTACAAAATTGTCCTGACCTCTCATTCCACAGTCCCATCTTTTGTGAGATGCTTGCATGTTGTTGCATGTAGTTGTTTGTTTATTCTTGTTGCTCTGTAGTAGGCCATTGTATAAATGCCACATTTTATTGATTTATTATGATGTTGATGGGTATTTGGGTGGTTTGCGGTTCAGAACTACTATGAATAGTGTTCCTCTGCACGTGTTTGAATATGTCTTTGGGTGAACATAGGTGTGCATTCTGTTGGGCGCATATCTAGATGCAGAATTACCTGGTCAGAGGGCGTGGTGGGTCCTAATAAATGCTTCCCAAGTGGTGTAGCGATCAGTCTGCACTTCTACCAGCAGTGTCTGGTCAGTTGCTCCACATCCTGGCCAGCACTTGGTATTGCCCATTGAATAAGAGGTGTGATTTGCTTGGGGGTAGCATTTTATACATTTATGGTTTAGAACTGGAACTATTTTGAATCAGTAACCTTTAGAGACAGAGGGATCTAGAGATAGACTTCTATCTAAAGACGTATATAGGTCTGATTGAGATCCATATCTAGAGATGGGGCTCTAACTACAGATACAGATGGGTCTGATCTGGATCTCTATCTAGAGATAGAGTCACTTCACTTTACGGAGGAGGAAACTATCCAGGTCACATAGCTAGTTAACGGGCAAGCCTGGGCTTAGAGCTCTCCTGACCTCTGCGCTGTGCTCTTTCCGGTCCTACTGCTGTAGGAATCATCTGTGCACTTTAAAAGGATTCCTTCATGTCCCATTTGCCCCACGAATCCCTGCAGGATGGCTGTTTTAGGTATTTATCCTTCCCTTCCTTTTCCTTCCTTCTTTCCTGCCTGCCTCTTTCTCCTTATTTTTCTCTCCTTATCTCTCTCTCTTTTTTCCCCTAAAAGATGACAAAGTAGGTCTAAAGACGCGGCAATCATTTGAGACCTCACAGGTGGCCAGCAGCAGCCGCAAAGCCTGACCTGGGCCTGCACACTTGCTCTCATTTTCTTTGTAGCCTCCACACTTTCTTACTGTGGGTGGTAGGCATTTGCTGGGCCTAAACATTTGACAGGTCTTATTCTTTCTCCACAGCTGAGAGCGCCACATACTGTCTTGTGAAGAATGCTGTAAAAGTGTTTAAGGATATTGGGGTGAGTGTCTTCCCCACTCTTACAGTGTGAAAGCTTGTGCTAACTTCTGTTCCCTTTCTATTTAGATCTAGCCTGCTTGAGCCTCCTGTGTTGTCCTTCAGAGAAGCAGTTTGTGCTGGATTAATCATGAGGGCATTTCTGGGGACGGGGTGGGGCATGTTGAAGGTGAGGCCCATCAGTACAGATTTGTCTGGAAGTTCCAGAATTTTGCTGGTTTTTCACCTTCAATCCAAAACCATTTATATGTAACGTGTCAGTGTGTTTTGAGATGCTGCTACCGCCTGGCGGGGATGTTAATTATGCCATATGATTCTCAGTTATTTTGTGATATTTGCCAGTATCGCTAGGAGTGTCCTCATCTGTCCTCTACTTTCACGTATTATGCGGCATGTGTGTTGCATGGAGGAACAGTGGCCTTTGTAAGGGACTGTATGTGACTATTTTAACATGAGTTGTAGAGTATATGCACTGGTTGCACTGGTTGGTGTTTTGCCCACTAAACAAAACACCGCACCTGCACCCGTGACCTCCCACGCCATGTTCACAAACACATGCAGTACTTGTCCTTAAAGCCATGATGCGGGTTTATATGCCTTCCTCCTCTGGTGGGTGGGAGGGTGGTCTAGGACACAGGTCAGGGTGGGTAACAGAAATGTCCCCTTTTGGGTGTGCATTTAATTTAATCTAAACTTTCTCTCTAGGTTTTCAAAGAGACCAAGCAAAAGCGAGTGTCTGTTTTAGAACTCAGCAGCACCTTTCTACCTCAGTGCAACCGGCAGAAACTCCTGGAGTATCTCCTGAGCTTCGTGGTGCTGTAGGTGCCCCCGGCACCTCTGGCAGGTGAAGGGCGTGGGCGAGCCTAGGCTCCGGCCCTGGCTGGGAAGCGGAGGGCGCTGTCGTGTGGCCAGGCTGCCCTGTCCTAGTGTGACCTCCTGGAAGACAAGTGCCTTCTCCCTCCACGGACCTGCGGGCGCGCCGGCTCTGAGGTGACCCGGTGGCCTGCAGGCGACACTGCGCAGGGCCCCTGCTTTTGTTTGCAATTCCTAATCAGTAGGTTACAGAATGAAATCTCAGAAAATGATTTTGGAGCTTATTAAACACTTATGTTTTAAGCATAACTGTTAAGAACTAATTACTGTGAAGGGCAAAAGCACATAGCTGTATTCAGAACTGAATCTTGTGTAGTGTACTTAATAGTGTCGGGGAATTCGCTGGGATAGTTTCTGATTCACTGTTAATCTTCCTTTAAAAATAATTAAGTCACCCATTTACTGTTTTTTTCCCTCAGTTTTATCTTTGTCAATAGAACTTGAGTCTTAAATGGGAATACCTGTCATCCTGAAGTGCTTTACGAAAGAACAGGAAAGACCAGGCTGGTGCACAGCACACCCAGGTGCCCCTGTGTCCTTCGCAGTCTGGTTTAGAAAGTGTTTTATGAATCACTTGAAAACACAACGTTTGATTAGGTCAGGGATACAGATAATGTGCTCAAACATCTAACACCAGGAAGTACTAGATTGGCTGGCAAGATTCAAGGTGAACTTGGCCAGAAAACTGACTTGGAAAAATTTCACAGAAAAAAGCACCGTTGAGTTTTCAATGCCCATCAAGCATTTAGGAGTGACTTCTGTTTCGTGTCTGTTCCCTTTCTCACCCCTCAGCTGGTGCCTGCCTCTCACAGGTACAGCCGTTTTTCTGGAGATCCTCCAACCACGTAGCAACGGCCTAACGCCATTAGCCCGGCCTGATAGCCTTTGTGGGCGGAAGTGCCCCAGCTGCGGGCCGCTGGCCCAGGGCTCTCCTGCACACACATGGGCTGAGCCCAGAGCCGGGCCAGGTGACCGGTACCCGCGTGAGGGGGGCAGGCTGACCCCTGGGCAGCATTGGCGGCGGCCCTGCTGGCCGGGGCACGGTCGGAAGCATTTATGGCTCTTTAGCTTTGAGGAGAAGTCATGGCTCTTTAAAAACCAAATGGGTTGTATGCCTCAACTCCACTGCCATGCAGTGGCAGGCCATTATGAAAGCTTGTCTGTTCATAACAGGTAGGTGCCTTTTTGTGAGCGGGGAGCGTAAGTGTTAGTTAAGTGTGGCAATTGTGGTGATTTCCTAAAGATCATGTGATCCTAAAATGTTTTCTAGCAGCTCGTTGTTCTTTCCCTCTGTGGTATTGTGGAATGAGGAACTTTTCCTAATGAACATTGTACCTAGCCTTTGAATTTAATATAAAAGTACTGAGAATTAAGTTTGTATTTTCATAAGCTTGTATTTTAAACACTAATCGTATTTCATGAATATTCTTTGTGTTTGGGGAAAGAGAAAGCTACTGATTGACATTTCCCTTTGTATGAAATAATCTCATTTGAAATTCAGCAATAATAAGTGCTGTGGTGGCCTTCCACTCCTCTCCGATGCCCCGTCTGGTATATATCCTTTCTTGACAGGAGCTCATGTACCATTAAGCCATCGTCAGTGTTGTCGCGGCTCTAGTGCGGAGTGGGGTCTTCCCCTTGTAGCATTTTATTTCACTAACTGGAGTTGTGTGTTTGGGGATACACAGGGAGGCCCTACCGATCCCCTTGTGTATTCCCTATCTAGGCCAGCAAACATTGCACTAGTCTCTTTTATTCGTCCTCTAAAGTAAAGATCCAGGAGTCCTCCGACTGGCGCTTGGCTACCTGGAATGTCAAGGTTGGGACTGACTTCCTCGTGGACACTGCTGCCCTGCTTGTGACTTCCGCTGAGAGCCGCTTGCCTGGCCAGGCTGCGCAGGGAACAGCGGCTTCTCTGGCTGTGCTTCCCCTTGCGGTTGGTTTGTTTTCTAGAAACCCAATCAGATGCTTTGAGGAATGCAATATGTGATTCCCTAGCTCCCTCGCCACTTAACTCACTGTGAGACTAAATATGCATGCTTTTTTGTAATTAACTGGTGCTTTGAAAACCTTTTTTAAGGAAGAAAAATCCCAACCAAAGTTATGCTCATCCAGGCAAGCTGACCCCTGAGTTCACGTTAGCACAACTCATCCTTCAGTGCCTCATTGCTGAGAACACATACATCATCACAGCAAGGCTTCCAGACAGCAGTTTTGCTTAAAAGATTTATTCTTATTTTTTTCCAAAAGCGAATGGCTTCCACATAAGATTAAACAAATTAGGTGCTTGTAAATAATGTATTACAGTTTACTCTTCTGCATTTCTCTGAGACCGAAATGCATGCCTTCTAGGGAAAGACTATGAGTCAAGTTAAAAACACAAACAAACAAAAACCCCCAATAATAAACAGTAGGAGACTGCACTCTTTCAAAATGAGAATGTCCTAAGTAATTCAGAAGAGGGGAAGGAATTTTTTGCTCTCTTGAACTTTAAGGAAAACAGAGGGGAAGAGCTAATGTGGAATCGTAGAGCTAGTAGGAGAAATACCACGAGCCTTCCTTCTCAGATCGATGAAGTCTCTTGAAGTCCTGAGGGTTACATTGGGAATTGCAATGAATGTAAGCTCGGCCGTGGAATTTGCTGTCCCCTCGAGGGGAAAAGCATTTCCCACAGTTCTCTGTGCAGTGTGGGCGCTCTGCGTGACGTCCCTGGTGTTCTGTGGGAGAACGCATCACTGGTATCGTAAATTTGGATGTGGATCCCGTTTCCTAGACACACACAGTGCACTTCAGCGCAGGCAGGGCTCAGGGTCTGCGGGGACTGAGCCTGGCTCACCCAGCGTTTCCAGACGCGCCACCCCAGGACCTCTCCCCTCTCTAGGGCATCAGTGAACCTCTCACTAGTTTCCCTTGGGAAACATTTTGGGAAACACTAGATTGGGTAATTCTTAAGCGTACAAAACAACTAACAGGTGGCACAGAGGCAGAATTTGCATGAATTTTGCACAATCAAATGTTAACATTTGATGGCCCCGTATTTCTTCCTCTAGAGAAAATAAGCACCGAAAACTGTAATACAGGTGGTCAGAGCTCTTTCCTTTGATGGAAAGGTCAGCCACCAGTGACCCTGGGTTTTTCACTAAAAGTAGCAAAATTAACACAAAGATTAACTGGGGTACATAATGAAGATTTTTATTCCAATTTAGAAAAAAATATTGCACAATTGAATGTACAGTAGATTTTTATTCACAGATGGTTCTACTGTTTAGCAGTGACAGGACCTATTACTGAAGTTTATAAGACTTAATTTGGAATGTACATCTGTTTTTTAAAACACTCTTTTTAGGAACTTGAGACTTGGCAGCTGGCATTTGAGTTTAATACAAACTAATGATTGCATTTTGACTTTATTTCTAAATATCTAAAGCTCAGAAATGCCTTGATGGAAGGTGTTAAACTATTTGCCTGTTGTACAGAGAAACATTAAATTGTGTGAAAAGGGTTACTTTTACTGTGAAATGACATGGCATGATTTTGTGAGCGATACTTATTTGGGAACCTTGATTGATTTTTATGCCTGTTCATGTATTGTAAGAAGCACAGAATTGTAGTTTTGTTTTAATAAACCAAAAAAATGAATATATTCTTGATGTTTTGCATTTGTTAATAAAAGTTTCCTGCAGAATTCATTACACAAACAATTGTTCTTGTTTGACTTTACATAGAATTTTATTACAATGCTTAAAAGAAATAATCTTCCATAAATTTATGTAAGAACCTGCAGAGCATGATTTTATTGTGGTCTCAGAGCTCTTGACATACGAGCAAGCATTTTGAGAAGCAGATATCTACATCTTAGCTATTGCTCTCCTTAGTAAATATTCGCATCACAGATAGATTCTTTGGGTGTCTGTAAAACTTCTTTACACTGGGTGCTTCTGTCATATTTTTATATAATCAGTTTACGAAAGTATATACTGACGTGTGGTTTTTCCTACCAATTCATAATAACCTCAAAAAATATTAGTTTACTTATAAGTAAGGGAAGTATAAAAGCACTGTTATCTGTGGATCCTTAAAAAGCACTCAAATGCCGCCTTCTCTCAAGAGTGCGCCCTCTGCGAGGGGTGCTTAGCACCTGCCTGGTGATGCCCTCCATGGCCTTTGGGCACATGATGTGGCGGGGAACCCGACCCCAAGACCGCCCCATCTGTCCTCTGCCGGCCTCTGTACCTGAACTTCGCGCCTGAACCCTGCCATTCCCTCTGGGGTGCTGCTGCCACGACTGTGCCCTCACCCTTCGGTGCATTCTTTCTTCCTTTAGCTTTAGTAGCACTTGCTGCCCCCAAATATGACCTTCACTTACCACAGCAAAATTGTAACTTTTACAACCAATCTAAGTAAATACGAATTTTAAAGCCTAATGCCTCTTATAAAAAAAAAGTATTTATTAACTGATTCCAGAGAGAAAGGAAGGAAGAGAGAGGGAAACATTGATTGATTGCCACCTATACACACCCTGACCGGGATTAAACCCAGAACCTAGGCATGTGCACTGACCTGGAATTGAACCCGCAATCTTTTGATTCGCAGTACAACGCTCCAACTAACAGCCCCACCGGCCAGGGCTGAAGCGTAGTCTCTTAACGTTTAGTCCTGTACTCACTAATTTTATCTTTCCCTTTGAGTCTGTCTTGTACACACATACTTAGTAAAATTCTAATTTTCCGCCGTGACAGGCACAAAAGCATTCTCTTGGCTGTTGCCCACATACCCGCGATGTCAGGACCACGGCCTGGCCTCTCCAGAGGCTGCTCCCGCTCCTTCAGTTCCCACGGCCCTCTTGCCTCCATCTAGTTCCCACGTGACTTGGTCCTTCTCCCTCTCTTCCTTGTCTCCTGTCCTTTACCAGGCGGTCCTGGTGGTGTTGCTGGATCCTCTTTTTTAAAGTAAATTTTTGTCTGAAATTTGTATTTTTTTAATAGGAAAACCCCCAATTTTTGCATACTGGTAAAACAAACTGGATCATGTCAACTGTTTCTCTGGGCCGTTTCTATCCTGCCAGCTGCCAGTTCCTGTCTTCTGAGCCAGGACAAAGAGGGTAACAAAAGGATTCGCTCAAGGTGCTCCTCCCAGGAGCCAGAGGCAACCCAGTGTTGGGGAAAGGTTGGCCTTGACTGTGCTCATCTGAGCGAAGCAGGGATGAAGCCTTGAAGCCGGGCTCTGGGGAGGACCCCGGGGGATGCTGAACCACACAACTGGCATCTAAGTCAGCCTTTCATGTCCAGCTCGCTGCCTTGCCCGTATCAAGGAAAGTGTATGTCAAAACAAGCCAGTATTGCTACGGCCGGTGGGCTTGTACTAGTGTAAATGCTACTTCAGACTTTAGATGACTAGAATAAACGAATGAACAAAGTCAGTTTCTGGCCTTCTGGGAGAATACCTTGCTGCAGGTCCTTCTGCAGGTTAGTTGAAAATTAGAAGGAAAAGAACCTGCCCTCAAACACCTGCCAAAAATCCTCAATTTACCAAGCCAAGATATAGAACTTAGTGGACATGAGATGGCTGTGTAAGGCAAGAGCAGGTATAGACACCTTTCTCCTTGCTTCTTTCTAGGGTCTCTATTAGTGGGGCTGGTCCTACACCTAGATCCTTATTTTTGCCTGCAATAGTCCTTTTATAAATATTAAAAAAGCCCCCTTTAGCTCTCCAAAGAGTCTAGGTTTGGATTATATATATATATTTGTGTATGTGTGTGTGTGTATATGTGTGTATGTGCACACACACACATGCACACCGTCATGTTTATCACCTGAGAACTTGAACCATCGCCTGGTTGACTTGCAAAGAAATATTTATAAACCAATTGCTGCTTCCTGAATCTTGGCACATTCTGGGGGACAGCAGAGAAGCTATTTCCTAATTAGGACAGAAAGTTTAGCTCTGAGAGTAGCATTAAGAGTCAGTCACTTAGAATTCAGCCCTCAAGCTTTACAGAAGAGAAAAATCACCCATGCTCACACACTCAGTTGGTAACAGTCTAGAACAGGAGCATCATATTTGGGCTTTCAGTCCCATGACCACCAGCCAAATGGAATGTGAAGATATAAGCATGATGTCAAGCTCCTGTCCAGTGAAGTAGGGATGATCTGTGTCTTCTCTGTGGAACCTGGAAAATGACATAATGTGGTGCCACTAGAAGGAAGTTAATTGGCTCCAGCAAAACAATGTGCTAGACATGCTCAGACCTGGGATGCAGTTGTGCGTATAGAGTTAGGCATTCATTGGTTGATTCTTGCATGTACCCTAACCAGGGATCGAACCCACAACCTTGTCATATGGGGATGACACTGTAACCCACTGGACATCCAGCCAGGGCTGATACGAAATAACTTTAAAGGATGAGATGCTTTGTTATTAAATGTAAGTGCCTGGAAAGGTCTTTAGTAACATGAGATTTATAAAGTCTGCAAATTAGAGTTAGTACCTGGTTATATGACTTTGGGTTTAAGTCTTGATTTCTCCCATTTGTAGACTGGGACAAAAACATAAAAAAGAACCCCATGTGCATCACTGGAGTGTTGGGAAACCCAACTGAGCCCGTGGGTGGTGCTTTGAAAGCAAAATTTATTTTCTAATTGTAAAGACAGACTCCGGTCATGGTGCTGAGTTTTTTGGGCAGGGCGCTTGCCGTAGGCTCTGTGGGACCCAGGAGGTTCCTGCACCTTTCGTCTGCCGGTTTCTCACCCGTGCACACTGGTGAGCTGTGGGCTTACTTCAGACCACAGGCCTGCCTTGTTTGTTTGGTAACTTTGAATCATCATAGAAATGAAGTCAACCCTAAAGATGTCAGAAGATCTTTCTAAAATCTACAATTGTACTAAAATTCTAGCTTTTGTTAAAACCAGGCCTGCATTTTACATGGAACAATGGGTTGGTAACCAACAGAGGTCATTCCAAAGGGCGTGGGCCCCGTAGTTTGCTACAGTTTCCCTTGCCCCCTTCTCCCCATGCACAAAGGCCAAGGGTCATGGGGTCATGGAAATATTGGGCTTGCACAGTTCTGTTTATAGTTTTTAAAGTAGAGAGCAACATTTTTAAATGCATGTCTTTGTTTAAAATGGACCAAAAAACCCATTTGAGTCTGCAGGTGGGCCGTGTGTTTTTTGAGGGGAGAATAAAGTAACAGATATTGAGCGTGAACTAACAGCCGTGCAGGGCAGCCAGCACGCCCCGGGTTACAGGTGAGGGTGCACCATGGGAAAGTCTTGGGAAGCACCTCAAGTTTCTTAAGGGAAGCATGACCAGCTTGGCCCCCAAACCCCTGCACTTTCCACGGGACCCTGGGGATTCCTCGACCTTGAGCTTCTTCCAGAGTGTTTGGAGCTCAGGATCTGGCTGTGGTAAGTCCCCACGGTCACCACATTTGGGAGTGGGGTAGGGGTGAAGGTGGAGGGAGAAATAAGAGGGGGCGGAAACCTTAGGCAGTGGGGCTTTCCGATTACCCCGTTATTTAAGGCCCACCTCCCAGGACCCACTTGTCTGCCTCGAGAGTTAAACCTGCCCCACCGGGACAAAGAGGGCACAGCTGCTGCAGGGGGGGGAGCCAGTCCAGCTGCCGTGGAGGGCGATGGATGGGGCTGGGGCTTCGGGAGGATGAAAAGAAGGCCGTGCCCTGGAAGTCAGGGGTGAGTTCATTTTCATGGCTTTTGTAGGATACAGAGGCCCAAACTGCCAACGGACTAGAGTTTGGACAGGCAGGGTCCTGCGCCAGAGACTGGGGTCTTTTGGGTTGACTGTCTTTGTGATGTGACTGCAGCTGAGGTGCTTATTGCTTTGTGGTCCAGTGCCTAAAACCTGGCTGAGGCCGCCTGGGTTCAAGTACCAGCTCTGTACTCTCCAGCTCTGTTTCTTGATTAACTGCTTCTGCATATCAGGGGATACAGTGAAGTCATAAATGTCTACGAAACACTTAGCACCAAGCCTGGAACACTGTCAGTGCTTTCTAAATGTTAGTTCTGTTACGAGTCTGTGTCTTTTCCGTAACAGAGACGTTTTGGCAGGACCCTGTGCTTTGTTTGCCTCTGCCTGCCCACTCCCTCCCTTGGCCAGGGTTTCTGAACTCCCTGAGAGATGTCACTTTGGAGAAGAGGGCAGCAGCGTTCAGCACGAGTGCTTTGTGCTTCCCCCGCCTCCTCAGCCTTCCTGAGGTCCTGAAATTTCAGGGTGAATTTGCTTGCATCTGGCCCCACCTGCCCCAGGACGCAGGGTGTGGCCACGCCACACATTCCAGCTTTGTCCACGAGGTGGCGCCAGAACTCCATCTAGGGCTCCTGGACTTAGGGCTGATTAAAAAGTTTGGCCACCGCCCCAGACCTGGGAACTAAAGTGTGCTTCCTGGGAAGGCCTGGGGATGCTCCTTAACAATAGGGCTTCTCGCGGACACAGGAGACCTCAGGATGGATCCTCCAAGGGGAGGGAAGGGAAGGGAAGGGAAGAGAGAGGAGTGGTGATAATGGGAATTAAGGGGCAGCCGTGGAGCCCCAGGTCCCCTGCCTTCCCAGTCTCTGTTTCCTGTCTGCTCTCCCTCTGGAACAGAGATATGAGTGACAAGGCTTGAGGCAGACTCTGCTTTGGTCTCACTTCTGTGGACTTGCCTCTGCCCATCGCCTTGTGCTGGTCCAGGGCTGGTTCCTCTGTC